AGCAGTAGCCGGCCCATGGCCTTGCTCTCCTCCAGGGGATGGGGAGACCAGCAGAGCCGTCCAGGCAGAGAGGGGCCCTGTGGTGGGGCCACCTGGGGGTTGAGGTGAGTGGGGGGAGCCGGGCTCAGGCTCCGCAGTGGGCTGTGGGGGCCAGGAGCCTTCCTCAAACCCGTGCACCTCCAGGATGACCAGCACTTCCTTTATCCATCTGGTTTTTTTCCTCTTATTGCAAAAGGGCCTCCCTTGTGGTCAGTGTCAAGTCAGCCCTGCCCAAGGGCCCCAGTGCCTGTCCTCCTGCTGAGGGGCCGGGCCTGACCTTGGCTGGCTGGGTCCCTCCCACCTGGATCCCTGCAGCCCCACCTCACTCAGCTTCACTTCTCATCCTTCTCTTTGCCCAGGGTCAGCACAGGATCTTTCAGGGAGAGGAAAGGCAGGCCTGATTCTCTGCCCTTCTATGTCCCAGATTCAGTCCTCAGGGAGGAGGAGGAGGAAGCTGGTGGAGGTCACAGGCGCTCAGTCCCCAGCCCAAGCACCAGAGTCCCCAGCTTGTCTTCTTTCCCTCTCTCTCTCCGGCAGGGACTCCCATGCAGTCCCCAGGCACCACCAGGGCCCAGCTGGCCTCTTCCCATGCCAGGCCCGCTCCCTTGGTGCAAGCACCCCACCTTGCTCAAGGGGTGAGGGGGCTGATGGTCCCCTACACAGACTGGTCCTTCTGGAGGCCACCCCTTCACCTCCTAGACATGAGACTGGATCTGCAGGCTCCCCTCTGACCTCCCCATCCTACACAGGCAGGGACAGGGCTCCAAGAAGTCCTGCCCCAGGCCACGTGACTTGCAGTGGCAGTTCCAGGACCGGAGCTCCCTCTACCCAGATGTCTGGGCCTGGCTGAAGGGCAGAATCTCTGGGCCTCAACTTCTGAGTGCAGGACAGGAGGCCGTCCCTTCATACAGCACCTCAGGTCATTCCCTCCACACACCTGAGCCCTTGGCTGATCCAGAAGCTTCCTTGGACACAGAAGGAAGTGAAGGCTCAGAGCAGCAGTGGGCACCCCACACACAGTCCTGGGCCCATCTCTAACGGGTTTCTGCTGGCCTTTCCCTGCGGTGGTCGCTGGAGCGGGGAGCTTTGGTGGACCACAGGGCTCCCTCCGTAGGAGGCTCTGCCCACCCTCTCCAGGGTGAGGTGGCCCCTCCAGCTAAGGGGCCGTGGGGGCAGGAAGACAGGATTTCGTCAGAGGAAATGGCATCAGCCTTCTTGAGACAGAAGCAGGCAGGGACGGGCCTCCCTTCTCTTCTCAGTCTCTTCCCTGGCCCCAGTAGGCTCCTCTGTGCTTCCCAGGGCCAGCCAGGCCAGCCCTCCCTCCCTCCCTTCACAGGCCGGAGGAAACATGTTCCCCTGTGCTCAGGAAACCCCTCCGTCTGAGCCAGGCCCTCAATGCCTCATTCTCCCCATTCAACCCACAGGAAAACGGAGGCACGGGGGCTTTGGACTGAACTGGTCCCACCTGCAAAGGTGGGCTGAAGAGAGGACAAGGGGCCCCCTGGCTGTCTGGGCAGGGCCTCGAGAGGGTGGTCCACCCTGCCTGAGGACTTTTTTTTTTTTAAGATGGTCTCACTGTGTCACCCAGGCTGGAGTGCAGTAGTGCGATTTTGGTTCACAGTAACCTCTGCCTCCTGGGTTCAAGTAATTCTCCTTCCTCAGCCTTCTAAGTAGCTGGGAATTACAAGTGCGTGCCACCATGCCCAGTTAATTTTTGTATTTTTAGTAGAGACAGGGTTTCACCATGTTGGCCAGGCTGGTCTCGAACTCCTGGCCTCAAGTGATCTGGCCACCTCAGCCTCCCAAAGTGCTGGGATTACAGGCATGGGATACGACGCCCAGCCACTGAGGACTGACTCTTGGTTCCATTCCTGCCTTGCCCATGAGCCATGGGACCCAGCTGGAAGGTCACCTGCTTACCAGGCTGCCCGAGGAGGGGGTGACATAGAACTTTTAGCCAACAGCCTCTGGGTTGCTCTGGAGGGCACATCCTCCCCAAGGGCCTCAGGCCTGGTACCGCCACGTGGGTTCTTAGATGCAAGGTACACGTTTATGTCACTTTCTGGGCCCTGGACCCAGCTGAACCCCCATGGGAGATTCCTTTTGTGTCAGGATTTCTGCTCTAGGATGGTGTGAGGACTCCTGGGTGGTTCATTCTCCCTCCCCCAACATCAGTGACAGGGCCTGGGGCTAAGCCTGGGGCTGTGGCTGTCTCTCAGAGGGGGCTTTTGGGAGGAGGCAGCCCTGGAGGAGGGCATGATTCCAACAGGGGCAGAGCCTAAATGCAGCCTGTTAGCGAGCAGGTGGCCATGGGAGAGGCGTGGGATGCAGTGTGTTCAGGTGCAGGGGCAGGGAGGGGGCCAGGACCCTGAACCACGTTTTGAGAACTGCTGCTTGTATGTCCCCACCTTCCCTCAAAAACTATCCTCCTTTCCTCACCAGCCAAGTCTACCCCTGCCCCAGCCCCTTGCCCCCCCCCTCCTTGGCACCCACCCTGAGATCAGGAATGAGGCACAGACGTCTGTTCTCACTGCCTCCCTTCATAGTACTGTCCTAGCCAGTGTGCTACGCTGGAAATACAAGTATTTTGTGTCTTCTTCAATTCTGTATTGATCTATTTGGCCTCCACCCATCACAGGGCCCATATTATCTATATTGCCTGCATTCTTGGCCTTTTTTTAGTGGGGGACATGGTCTCGCTCTGCCTGTAGGTGGGATTATAGGCACGCACCACAGTTCCCCTCTAATTTTCTTCTTTTTTGCAGAGACGTGGTGTCACTCTGTTACCCAGGCTGGCCTCAATCTCCCAGGCTCAAGGCATCCTCCCAGTGTGCTGGGATTACACACATGAGCCACAGGGCTGAGCCCCTTGTACACTGCCAATGCTCTGGCATCTGGTACCTCACTGACTAGGGAGAGACTCCCCCTCCCAGGG